TTTTTTTTTTTTTTTAGAAATAGCCTTTGTGCACAGCCAGCCTTGTACTCTTCTAGGTTCAAAAAACTGTCGTCCATAAAATGCGTTGCACAAATTCGAACATCTGGGTTGTGCTGTTCTGTTGTAAATAAATCTTAACCAATGATTCCTAATTGCATCTACTTCCGGAAGGCCAAATAAAGTGCTTTTGCTTTCGCACTGAATCACATAGCGTCTCCCTGACATGGCTGCATCAACACTACTGCTGTTCCTGAAACAACGCCTTCTTTCTTTGCGTGCACAGTTGGGCGGCATTATGCTAATATTTCCACATAGTGACGTAGACATGTGGGGGCATGTTAGAACGAGCCGTTTTAGGTACGCGTGGTTGACTCTTAACTTTTATAAAGATTATCTCTTTGGATTTGAGACTTTAGTCTTTGCAACTTTACAGATCTTCTTTATGCACCAAGAGCTTGTAATACTTCAAAGAGAAAGGAAAACTTGAAATCGCATCATATGACCCCTTTAAATGTAATCTTTACCAAAATGTATGTTCATATTTTGTATTGTACTTATGTAATGCTCCAACGCCTAAATTCAGTCATATCATTTGAAATTATTTTTCATATATTAGCTAAAATAGTATAAGATTTTAATTTTATAAATTATAATTGATAAATGGCATAAGATCACGTTCGTCTTACCAGTATCAGCCAGAATTTTAACATTGGTGCAACCCTAATATGAAGGTGTTTATTTTGCAGTAATGACTTACTGTACATTATCTTACTGTACATTATCTCCAAAATAATGAAATATAGACTTGAAATATTAATGTGGGTTGAAATCATTTTTATTATGTGTGACCGCATAGTGCTACAAGAGACGTGAAACTAGCACAGTGAGACCGGTTGCCAGGGACAACGCTCAAATGCAGTTTAGTTGCCATTACAGAAAAAACCATTTGACCTCAGAATGCTGCGACTGACCAATCAGAATCAAGTATTCCAGAGAGCCTTGTAATAAATTAGAATAGCATCTTTTTCTGAGGAGAGGTTCACACAACATCGCTGCAGAGCACTCGCTGAGACGTTTAACTAACTGGGTCAGTGTATAAAGTAGTGCACGGCTGACTGCAGTGTGCTAACAGGGTTGTCAAGAGGGATATCGGTTTAGGGCGTTTTGAAAACCGATGTGTTCAAAGCAGGGCACGCAGCCAGTTAAATGAAGCGAGGCAGATGTTTTCATTTCTTCTACGTGAACCGTAGATGGCGAAATGATTTATGGAACGGTGAGGATGGTATGTTTCATTAACGTGTGACATTGTGTGTGAATCTGTGGGTTTCATATGTCTCAGCCTGGTGTCTGTTGCCATGGCAAGGTTTCCTCTTTCCTGTTTATGAACACGGCTAGTGAAGTGAGTCAAGGTCATATTCCCCCTGCAGGACCACACCTCAGACAAAGGGTGACGAGTCCTTTATTCACACACACATATCCCTATGCAAACACAATAGGAGCCACTGTTCCACATGGTTCACATGTGATCATTATAGTTTCATGATGGCTTAAAATGATTTTGCAGCTAATGTATGATGTGCATATGAATGTAAAGTGCACGTACAGAGAGACAGATGGTCCTGTTGTCATTTAACCTGAGCTTTCTCCTCACACAAGCATGCTGATATCATGCTTGCTTCTTTCAGTTCTGACTCCGCCCCTCTCTGTTTCTTCTAGACCAATGGGAAAGGCTCTCTGTGGTGCGTTCACCCCGAGTTCCGGCCCATGCTGATGCAAGCCCTGAAGAAACAGCACTTCCCGAATGCACATGCCTTCTGCACTCCTCCTGCCTCCCCTCCTAGGTATCAACACTGGCCTGATTATATGACAAATGCATAATTCTGACATTTATCAAGGCTTCAGTCAGTAGAAAGAATGCTTGTATGCTGCTTACTAGGATTTCAGAGATTTACTTCATAGGAATACACTTCCAGTGCAGACAGCTTTGTTAAATATAGTGGGAGCGATTTAGTTATGTGTCATGATGCTTCACTAATGTCTAGTGTAGGCCATCATGTCTAATATAGGTTGTTTACCAAAAATGTTGCAGCTTTGGTGCATTAATATAAAATTAATATTCAGTTGTCGTCACAGGTGTGTGAATGTTGGTTGTTCTAAATGTTTTTTGTCTGGCTATATTAATAATATAGTGGTGTGAATCTTTAAGTTGACAGCAAATAAATTCAATCCACTGATTTTGATTCAAGCTTTTTTTTCTGATTCAGAACAATTTGATACACAATTTAATTTAATTTATTTTAATTAATGCATTTAAAATAACACAACTAAAATATGAAAGGCAAATTACTTAAGACAGTTTTTGAACTAAAACTATGTTTGTTTTATGTAACTTTCTTTGTTGCCATTAATTTGTTCATATAAAAAATATTTAATATTTATCCTTACTATGTTACACAATTTTTTAAATATTAATTATTGGGCAACACAAGTGATTCATGACATAGAGTTGAATCGTCAGTATTCTTACAATCAGGAAAATCAAATAACCCTTATACACCCATTGTAATATTTTACTGTTTTGAGTCTTAAATAAAATAAATAAAATACAAATATATTTCTCTGGATCATCCAAGAATAGGTATTAGCTCATGGTAATATATAAAAAATGTGTGTATGTATATACACTGCCGTTCAAAATTTTGGGATCAGTATTTTTTTTTAAATTTTTTAAAGAATTTAAAGAAATGAATACTTTTATTCAGCAAGGATGTGTTAAACTGATAAAAAGTGATAGTAAAGACATATTGTTAGAGAAGATTTCTATTTTGAATATGCTGTTTTTAGCTTTTTATTCATCAAAGTATCCTGAAAAAATTATCACAGGTTCCACCAAAAAAAAAAAAAACATACATACATACATTTATTATTTATTTATTTATAAGCGGCACAACTGTTTCCAACATGGTTAATAAATCAGCATATTGATAATAAATCAGAATGATTTCTGAAGTATCATATGACACTGAAGACTGCAGTAATGGCTGAAAATTTAGCTTTGCATCACAGGAATAAATTATTTAAGTATAATAAAATACAAAACTGTTGTTTTAACTTGTAATAATATTTCACAATATTACTGTTTTTTTTCTCTATTTTTGATCAAATAAATGCAGCCTTAATGAGCAAAAGATACTTAAAAAAAAAACCATTAAAAATCTTACTGATCCCAAACTTTTGAACGGCAGTGTGTGTGTGTGTGTGTGCACTGGATAATAGTACTTCAGTCAAAACCGTAGTTGTCTCTCATACATTATGACACAGATTTCACCTATGGTTGCCTCTGAAGTTTATTATACAGATTGTGATGTAAGACTTCAGTCTAGAAAATATCTAACTGGTGTGTTTAACATCTTCTCACACTTTCTCTCTGTTCTGTAGTGCCTCGTCTCCTCCTCATCACCTTTTCACATCAGAGCAGGGCTGTGCCCTAAAAGGTTAGTAGAATTCATTAAGTCTGTTCAGAAAATCCATAACCTGGTCACATCTTTTACACATCATTATCAGATGCATCATCACACATTGAAGCCTATCACTCATCTCAGCTCTTTTTGTTCCACTCACCCCGTACTTGGTGCTTCTACACCATGCAAATAGATGCCATCTCTTTCCTATATTTGGTAACCTTGACAACCAAGGCACTGGTATTTTGAAATTAGAGAGCGACTGTTTCGCTCTTGGGTGGAAGTGACTCATTCACTTAAACACACACACACACACATCACATAGTCAATACTTGTGTGCATCAAACATTTCTTTCTCTTTACAGAATGTGATTTTGATGCTGCCACTGCCATGATGCTGTTAAAGTCTGCCTCTGAGCAGAACATTGATTCTTGTAAGAAAACACCATCACATACACCAACACCTCATTTTTGCCCTTTTATTTTGTTTGTTTCTTCTTTTATTCATGTTCTACATCAGGTTTATTTTAGTCAAGACATGCATCTAGGTACTTGTTCACATAATCACAGCAATCATGCACATGTGTAATTGGCTTTAATCAGGGATCATCCAATCAAAAATGTGTATTAGAACAGTTCATTTATAATGTCACTAAATATTTGTATTTCAAATGAAGGCTGTTCTTTTAAAGGGTTAGTTCACCCAAAAATGAAAATTCTGTCATTAATTACTCACCCTCATGTCGTTCCAAACCCAGAAGACCTTCGTTCATCTTCGGAACACAAATTAAGAAATTTTTGATGAATTCTGAGAGCTCTCTGACCCTCCCTTAGACAGCAGCGCAACTGTAATGTTCCCAGGTCCAGAAACGTAGCAAGGACATCATTAAAATAGTCCATGTGATATCAGTGGTTCAGTCGTAATTTTACGAAGGTACAAGAATACTTTTTGTGTGCAAAGAAAACAATAATAACATTATTTATTCAACAATTCTTGTCCCAGAGTTACCGTTTTCCGCCATTTTGGAGAGTACCCCAGAACGTAATCAATGTAATCAGCGTTGTTTACATTCAGGATAAAGTGCGCGCATGCTGAACATAAACAAAGCTGATTGCACTGATTACGTTCTTGGGTACTCTCCAAAATGGCAGAAGACGGTAACTCAGGGACAAGAATTGTTGAATAAATTGTTATTATTGTTTTTAATTGTTATTGCACACAAAAAGTATTCTTGTAGCTTTGTAAAATTACGACTGAACCATTGATGTCACATGGGCTATTTTACCGATGTGCTTACGTTTCTGGACCTGGGAACATTATAGTTGCATTGCTGTCTATGGGAGGGTCAGAGAGCTCTCAGAATTCATCAAAAATATCTTAATTTGTGTTACTAACCCTTTAAAGGGTTAGTTCACCCAAAAATGAGGATTAGCCCATAAATTACTCACCCTCAAGTCATCCTAGGTGTATATGACTTTCTTCTTTCAGACGAATCCA